ATATTTCTCTATGACTGTAATTTTCCTGGTCTATTTCTCCCCAAGTTTTCATGTTACTGAAGATATAATTAAAAACAAACTTCCTTTTCTTTCTTTTAGAATTATCACTTCCTCTTGTTAAACCTCCTTCTTTCTCCTCTTTGTCTGTGCCTTCTTCATCATAATCATTACCATCTTCAATATCGGATGTCATTACAGTTTTTACCCTTGAGAAGGAATTTCTACTTGTACATGGTGTTCTACTGGGTCCTGTAAAAGAGGATGCATAGACCTTGTTCAGGCTTTCTTGAGTAGTGTTGTTTCTTTGTCACCATTAGATTTCAGAGCCTCCAGGGGAAACTGCTTGTTTGCCATCCATATCTTAGTTTAACACCTGGATTTTCATTTTGAGCTTCATGGTATAGATCAATGAAACAACACAATTTTGTGTCCTTCCTTCCTTCCTTCCTTCCTTCCTTCCTTCCTTCCTTCCTTCCTTTCTTCCTTCCTTCCTCCCTTCCTTCCCCTCCCCACTTTCCTCCATTCTTCCCTCTTTCTTTCCTTTTTTATTACATATGTTCAAGGTGTACAACAGGACGTTTTCATAGTAAAATGATTACTAAAAGTCAAGCAAGTTAACATATCCGTCATCTCACATAGTAACCTTTTGTTTTTGTGGTAAAAGCACCTAAAATCTACTCTCTTTGCAAATTTCTAGTGTACAACACAATATTATTAACTATATGCTGTACATTAGATCTCTAGTTTTATTCATCCTACACATCTGTAACTTTGTATCCTTTGCTCCATTTCTCCATTCCCTCTGCCCCTGGTGATCACCAGTCTACTGTTCTACTCTCTGTTCTCTTTGTTTCTGTGTGTTTGAGGTATTTTTTGTTTGTTTGTTAGAAATACTGTGAATAGAATTGTTTTCTTGATTTCTTTTTCAGATAGGTTGTTATTGATGTAAAGAAATTTGACTCATCTTTGCTAATTTTGTATCCTGTAACTTCACTGAATTCATTTATTAGTTCTAACAGTTTTTAGTGGGCCCTTTAGGACTTTTAACATATAGGATCATGTCATCTGCAAGCAGGGATAATTTTACTTCTTCCTTTCTAATTTGTGTGCCCTTTATTTCTTTTTCTTGTCTGATTACTCTTGCTAATAATTCTAGTACTGTGTTAAATAGAAGTGATGAGAGTGGGAAGCCTTGCCTTGTACCAGATCTTAGAGGAAAAACATTCATGTTTTTTTTCCATTAATTCTGATACCAGCTGTGAGCTTTTCATAAACGGCCTTTATTATGTTGAGGAAATTTCCTTTTATACCTACTTTGTTGAGAATTTGTATTATGAAATGACGTTGAACTTTGTCAAATACTTTTTCTTCATCTATTGAGATGATCATAGGGTTTTTATTTTTCATTCTGTTAATGCAGTGTATCACATTGGTTGTTCTGCATATGGTGAAACCAACCTTGCATCCCAGGGATAAATCCCATTTGGCCATGGAGTATAAACTTTTTGATGGGCTGTTGAATTTGGTTTGCTAGTATTTTACTGGGAACTTTTGCATCTGTATTTACCAGACATATTGGTCTGTAGTTTTCTTTTTTTGTAGTGTCTTTGTCTGGCTTTGGTATGAGGGTGATACTGGCCTCATAAAATGACTTTGATAGTAATCTCTTTACTATTTTTGGAGAAGAGTTTAAGAAGTATTGGTAGTCTTTGAAGTTTGATATAATTCAGCTGTGAAGCCGTCTCGTCCTGGGCTTTCTTGGCATCTTGATTTTTTTTTTTTTAAATTTTTGTTTAAGAGATGAGGTCTCACTCTGTTGCCCAAGATAGAGTGCAATGGCATGGTCACAGCTCACTGCAACCTCGAACCTCTGGGCTCAAGTGATCCTCCTGCCTCAGCCTCCCGAGTAGCTGGGACTACAGGCATGTGCCACCATGCCTGGCTAATTTTTTTTTATTTTTTGTAGAGATGGGGGTCTCACTGTGTTGCCCAGGTTGATCTCAAACTCCCGGCCTCAAACAGTCCTCCTACCTGGACCTCCCAAAGTACTGGAATTCAGGCATGAGCCAGTGTGCCCAGCCAGTCTTTTATTTAAAAAAAAAAAAAATACACCCAGCAAAAGGCAGTCACAGAAGTGGAGCAAAAAAGGCAACTATGTAGACTCGGTTATGTTTATCTTTTTGAGGTCGTTAATTGATGGTTTTCTGGGAGCCTTCTTGATTATGATGGTCTCCCTATAGCATAATACAGGGTGTCCCGAAAGTTGCCATACATAGGGAAAATGGGAACTTGTAACTAAATGTACCTTTATTTACAAAATATTCATCGCAAAATTTTATAAAGTTTTTCCTTTGTATGGAGACTTTTGGGACATCCTGTAGTTAAGAGTTAGGACTATGGAATCAGCTGGAATTAGATTTGCTTTTCAGTTCTACCGAATGATAATTCTGTAAACTTGACCCTTAGAGCTTCAGTTTGCTTACCTGTAAAATGGGATAGTAATATCTAACTTATAGTCCTTACTAGGCTGTATATATTTTCGACATTGTTTTTTTTCTTGCCAATAAAAAGAACTTGTAGTAACATTGGACCACAGGCCATTTTTCTTGCACACTTCTGTTTTTTCTTCTACTGTACCATGCTCCCTTTCCCCTTTTCTTCTCCCTTCTCTGTTCTACCTTTCCATTCCAACTAGTTCTTTTTCCTTTAGGATCTTGCTCTCAATCCATTGTGAGAGTTGAAATGCAGGAAATAAACAAAACTGTACAACGGGCTGTGTAAATTTCTATGAGGAATAATTAAAAACCAAGGAATAAAATTCAAGTAATAGAATTTCACTTGATTAGCTGCTGACATGATTTGCTTGGGAAGAAGTCTTTTCAGCCCACAAGTATTTTCTAAAATCCCTTTCCAAGCTTGAGATTCCACCATCCTAAGCTATTAGGTCACCTAGGCAGCCATCTCTTCCAACTCATTTGCCTGGACAGACTACTCTATTATTGGGTTATTGGAAGATATTTAGACTTTCTTCTTGCAGGATGAGAGGGTGTTTGGGGGCCTCATAGATTTTGTCTTTAATTCTCTAACTTCCTTGTCTTTAATGCAAATCACTGTGAAAGTGGGTCTCGTGACCCATGACCCAACAGAATTTTTTCAGAAGACTTGAGGAAGGTTCTTAGCCATGAGTTCGTATCTTCTCTTTGAAGAGTGACTCCTTCAGTGTCTAGGACTCCAGGCCTCTGGCTTTGTTTAGCTTGGATTGAGGCCCCAGCCAGTTGAATTTGAGTTGAGCATTCACTACCACCACTCACTGCTCCTCCCTCCACTTCCCTCCCTTCTCCCCACCTCCTCTCCTTCTCTGTCTTCTCTTCCCTTCCCTTCTTCCTCCTCTGTTTCTTCCCCTCTCTCCCCTTTCTTCCTATGCTCCCCTCATCTGTCATCTCTTATAGGTGACTGCACTCATCTCTTTATTTAGTAGAAATGAGAATGCTTAGCTTTCTCCCTCTCAAATTTTAGTTGTGAGATTAGTGAGAACAACCAAGGAAATGGCTTTGGTATCTTGAGAAGCTTTGTGTCACTTCAGAAGTATAGTTTGCTTACTGTTTCTGCATTTTCTCCTTTCCTACATACCCACCCTCTCTTATAATGCGTAGTATTTTAAGTATGCTTTTTTCTGATCAGTGAACAAAGTTGATATTTACCGATTAGAAACAACTGTTATGGGGGTCAGACCACTTGGGGAGAATTTGCTGCCAGACCCCTGCTTTCATTTAACTCTGAATTTTGGTCCCTGTGGAAGACATGAAATCAAAGATGATAAGCGCTACCAGGTGATGCTGGGCCATGTGGGACTTAACAGATCACACTCCTGCTCCTGTTTAGGAACCTCTGCCCATTCACAGTTCAGTGGTGCCACCGATTTGTGCACCATATACAGAAGAAAGCAGAAATGAAACTGAAAGGTTTTCTGACTTGAGGAAAATGATATTCACAACCTTGGGGTGAGGGAGGAGATGAGACTCCAAGAGAATGTTTTGAATGATCGAGTGTAAATCTTGTTTTCACAGCAGCCATTAAGTAAATGCTTGTTGATGGGTGTAGACTGCTTTGTTTCCCTTTTGAACATCCCTTCCATCCCTCAGTTTCATGCACCTTCTTGTGATGGTATAATGACAGTCTGTCCATCTGTCCGTCTCTCTCTCTTTCTCATTTTGAAATTTCAATTGCTTTAATAAATATGTATAAGTAACTATATTTATCTACTTAATCACCAAGCTTATATTGCATTTTGGTTTCTTGTGCACCCAGTTCCTCCATGGGGCATTGGGACTTTGGGGAGTTCAAGTAAAAATACATAATTGTTAATCTTGTGTAGTTGCCTGCTTAAAATGGTAGGGTGTGCTGGAAATATTGACCAAGTTTCACGTCATCGTGAAGGCTTCTGTGTGTGATCTCCTTTCATCTCATTTTTTATGCAGTTATAGTATGTTCTTGGATCTTACAGAACAAGCTGATGAACTGAATGGGAATGTTGCTGATGACGCTCCTCCTCTCCAAGTTAATGCCCAATTTATGTTTTGGGAGTTAGGCATGGACTCCCAAACACTGCCATGCTTGCTCTTTAATTTTTGCAATCTAGAGGATTCAACATACTGTTTCTTCTCTGTGTTTGTTTTAAATGTGGAATGGTCAAAACTATGACTTTGTGAATAGGTTTAAGGGAACAAGAGGAGGGTCCCTAACTATTGTGACTGTTAGCCTTGATGACATGTGCAGATCAAACCTCCTCACCCCGGGAGTGTGCGGCTTATCACTGTTGATAGTAATTACCTCAAAGGCTGCCAGGCCCGAGCCTCTCTTTCTGGATGATGTGAAATAGATACCTCAGTAATCCAGTGAAGCATTGTAGTAACATGCAGATTTAAACCTTATCTTCTGATTAATTGGAGAGTCTACTATCAAACCTGACAAAAGTAAATAACTTTGTACCTCCTCAACAGAGAGATGGAGACCTTCCAACTTCAAAGAAAAAACGCCAGGCCGGGGAGAAGATCATGTACACTTTGGTCTCTGTCCCACATGGAAATGACATCGCGTCCCTTTTTGAGCTGGATGCCACAACTCTTCAGAGAGCCGACTGTCTGGTTCCAAGGTAAAAAAAAAATATGGTTAAAAGATGTTTCTTTGAATAATTATACCAGTAGGTAAGGAATGAAAATCTTAATGTTAATGTAATCTTTGTGATATCAAGGGAGCAAGCATCATCAGTGAAGAACAAGTGTGTAAAACATTGTGCCTCTTTTGTGAGTAGATTAACATAGTTTGTTTTATTCTTGTAAATAATTAAATGCGTAATACCAAAGAAACTCTGAAAAATTTATAGGAGTCATTTATTCTCATAACTTGTATAGCCTTTGGTTATTAAAATGGAAGATAATCTAAAAGCATTTCTATTTATACTTTTGTCATTTATTTCTATTAGGTCAAATTCCCCATTTTATTCATTCATCCATCCATCTGTTCATTTATGTAGTCATTCAGTCAACAAATACTCAGTGAACGTCGATGACATTCCAGGCATTGTCTGTGGCATTGGGAAGACAACAATGAACAAACTGGTTATATGCTTTCAAATGGGGGAAGCAGGCAGTAAACAAACCAATAAACGTAAAATATAAGGTCAGGTCATAAAAATGCTTTGAAGAAAAATGGCAGGGTATGGAAAGTTCTATTAGGTAAGATTGTTCAGAGGTGGCCTGAGTTAGGACGTTTGAGAAAAGATCTGAATGAGTTGAAGGATCAGGTCGTCTTTATCTGGAAGGAGTGTTTCAAGCAGGAGGAACACAAAATGGAAAAATACTGAAATTTACCAGGTGCTTTTAAGTGAGGACCAGCGAGGAGGCCAGTGCAGTTGGATCTAAGTGAGTGAGGGGGTATGGGATTGGTAATGAGGTAGCCAGAACTTAATGTATGGGAGCATCTTACATTCTTTTAGTTGAATTTGACTATTTTAGTTAAGCTCTTATGCCTACGACTGTCTACCTTCCTACAGTAGCACTGTGATGCACCCTCTAGATGCATCAAGGAGTCCTTCCCATATTATTAGGTCTAGTGGGATGGTTCTTAGTTGGCCTTGTTGGATCAGTATTGTATTTGGCCTTCGGCAGGTTAGGCTAAAGGTACGTACCTAAAAATGCAGACTTCATTGTGTGGCTTCCTTTCAGGGAGGGTAAAAAGTTGCTGTACTAAGGCGGTCAAGAAACCCACTGGTTGAGCTTCCCAGGGTGTTTCACGGATGTTCTCATTCATAGGAAATATTGATAAATCTCGACCTTATGTGAGTCCATCTCTCCCTCTTCCCCATTCTACCAACATAATCCTGTAAGGAGATCACCTCTGAAGGTGTTACCTGATCCAGGGAACTTCTGGCCTTCTCTTCCCAGAATTGGGATCTTAATCCTTACTATGGCTTTACTCATTTTAGATTTAAGTCAACAAAA